CCATAGCTGCAAATTGGTTATTTATTTCCCAGGTGCACAATATTTATATGGTTAAAAACACTTTACAGTACAGCATTTTATATTTATCTTTGATCTTCACTATTATGTCATTCGTATAGATTTTTCTAAGGTCCACATTTGTGTGATCATTTTTTTCTATTCATCTTTTTGCTGCTGTAAACACCAGAATTTCCCCATTGTGGGACAAAAAAGGAATTTTCTATTCTATTGTAGGACAATACTTCTCTTAAATCTAGTATCTGGTTGTGCCATCCTGTCAGCAATAACAACAATAGCTGAGAGGACTTGTTTTATTTAATTTTATTTAAACGACCTGCTTAAAGTTTTGCCAAAACATTTCAAGCAGGGTCAAGTGCACACTAGGTCACTCCAAATGATTTAGTTGGCCTTTTCTCAGAAGCACGTGAGGGATAAGTCATACAAAGCATTTGCATATAAAACTAAAGATTAGGCTCTTCGACTCTTGCAGTTGGGAGTCAAAATTTTTGTTAGAACCACCAATCAGGGCTCGCCATAGCTTTCTTACAACAGTTGTTTTATCAGGGAATTTTTTCAATGCAAGGCCACATTTATGGAGCGCAAATTTTAAGAGTTGTTATGTGGACAGACTCTCCGTTTGGAGCAGTTATCTCCCTTCCCAGCCTGTCAGCTAAAGTGGACGACCTTGTTTTCGCAGCTTTGTTTTCATGAACTCCATCTTCCAGATAACAGTTTGAACAGTATTATTTAGTCTTAGAAGATGTTCTACTCAATGCTTTGTGTGGGTCTGTCAAAAGAAAACCCATTAATTTAGATAAAGTCACATTAAAATACCTTTGAGTTTGATTATCAACAAAAATCTGGAAATGGAACTAAAATGGGAAAAAGTAAATAATCATGCAGCAGTTCATTTTTTTTTATTTAACACGGTTAAATTTCATATAAAGTTGAAAAATATAGGCTACAGGTTTTAAAATAAAATACTATAGTAAAACGCAGATAACTTTTCAGAGAAAACATTTCTAGACATACAGAACAACACCCAGGAGAAGATTCTCTGTCATCCAGGATGTGATGCATCCAAACAAGTGTCTGTGGTTGAACAAAGATTTTAAATATTAATGCCTTCCTGCCTGTGACTTAACATCACATTCGGGAAATAGGAAATGTTTCCAACCACACAAAAAATTAAGTCTGGTAATTTTGTAATTTTAACTTGTTGAAGAAAAGACAAAACATTTTCAATTAATATAAAAACAATTCAGAAAAAGTTTTTATTCATTTATTTATTTTTTTAAAGTTCAGAAATTTTGGAGTTTGGAGGGTTTAAACAAAATAAAATCAGAAAGAGAGAAACAGCAAAACGAACCTACAACAGATATTTACCTCAAATTCTATAGAAGAATGGACAAGTATGTCTCCTCAGTTACAAGAAATTGAAGGAATAATATGGATCGAATTGGCCCCCATGTTATCTTTAATAAATATGAACTAGTGGTTATCTTTTCAAAATAAATAACTTTTTTATTCAAAATCATGATATACAACTAGGGTGGAAACAATTAATTGGATTGTTCGTTATGAATCGATTATATAAATAATTGTCAACTAATTTAGTAATTAATCGTAAACTGGAGTATAGAGACTATAAAACCTGCTTTTAGCTGACATAGCAAAAAACAAAGAAGTAATTCTACCAAAAGTGTAAAAAAAAAATATACAAAAATTTTGCATTTATGATGTTAATTAAATATTTTTCGTCTGTCAATACGCTCTATCCAGAACCACGGATAAGTTTAGTGTCACTTGATTTAATTTCATAAAGTCTTCCTTAAGGAAGCTTTTGCTATCCAATTATTAATTGTTTAATCGGAAAAATAATCAACAGACTAATTGATTTGCAAAATAATCGCTAGTTATTAATTGCTATGGAGCCCTACGTAAGACAGTGTTACTTTTTGAACATTTGCTAAGTTTGAACATTTAAAGACTTTATGTAAGAAAAACAGCAATTTTATTCTCTTTGTACACAAGTTTTAAACTTTTCCAGATAGAAGTTAGAATACCCAGACACACACACACATATATATAGATAGATAGATATCAGAAGCAAGTGAATTTAAATATTTAGCTGCATCCATAAACCTATTTTAGTGTGAGATTAACAGATTTTCACCTATATAAACATAGTGTTAATCTGATACTATAATAGGTTTATGGATGCGACTAAATTTTTTTCTGAGTGAAAATCAATTACTTCTGAATGCTTCCTTATTTAAATCTATTTGAATTTGACCAAACAGAAGGTGCAAAATGTTCATTAACGAAAACGATTCATTTAATATTCTAATTTAGCATAAACTCAGCAATTTCTGAACATTTTAAAAGCAGCAACTCACCATACATGAAGTAAAGTCTTCTGGTGTCTCTTTGCTGAGGAACCACCTACCAAAACTTCCTAAAGGACCCCATGCTTTAAAACATACAGAGTGAGGTCCCCTGAGTCCCTGCAGGGTTTCCTTATTAAAGAGGTTACACAAGACAGTGATCTGCTATCAAAACCTTTACCGTCCTCCTCTTCCGATATCATTACAAGAAAAATGAGCAGCCTACAAATTAGCTCCTGCACTCAAGAGATACACGGATGCATGATACACACGCATGCACTCACACCTCACGACCTCCCCCCAGGTGTAAAGCCTTTATTAATACTTAAACAGGAATTGAATAACGGTCTACACAGTTCACGAGTGGATCAAACACCCCCTCGCTTTTCTTCTCCAGTGCGGAGACCTTCGTGTGTCACTGGTTGGTTTCCCACCATCCTAACCCTGGCACCATTTTTTTTTTTTTTTACAAGTAAGGAAATTGAAAGAACGGAAATAGAAAAGTGAGAAAAAGATAAGGCAATGACTTATTTGGAAGAAGCAGAACTGGAGCCAGAAAGAGGGGAGCATGGAGAGCAAAGTCCAGACCTTTGGAGCCAGAGAAACAGGAGATGCATTAGCAATTAAATTGCAGAGCCAGATGCTGCACCAGGGTGGAAATTGACCCTGCTGCTTTAAAATGGAGATTGTTGCATTGAGGCTGCCTGGTGGCAGGAACAGTGTGGAGTATAAAGTGTGGCACAGCATGGTAAAGTGATCCCACTCTATATGTAATTAGACCAGGAGGACTGCAGCCAAACTAAAGTGCAGGAAGGTGGGAGAAGAAAACCAGGACTTTCTTTCTTTTTAGAGCTAAATCTGTCATCAGGCTATCAAAAATAAATAAGGGGAAAAATGCTAATTCCTCATACTAAGGAAGACAATTTTATTTTTTTGGATACCTTAAATTTGTGGAAGGAAAAAGTCATGTTTAACCTTCATCCTTTATAATTCTCTGTGACCTTCTGGTCTCTACTGCTGGACCAAATACTGATGGCCGGTGACCTTAAAGTTACAAGCAGAAAAGATTTATTATCTGCCTGCTTTTGTTAAGCTGACCTGGGTATCTTAATAGGATTAAGATCTGGAGTTTGCTGTCAAAAAATACATTGGCACATCCTGACAAACTTAATTATCTCTTTTGTCTTGCTATAGGGTGTTTTTATTCATTAGGTGTCCTTCAAGACTTTTCAGTCCCTAACTCAATTCATGGCTTTGTTCTTGAGAAAAATGAGTAAATCTTTTCCATTTGCAGAGAAACACATTGGATCAGAACCTTTTACTGCTGACAAGACAGCACTCACCTTTATCTTTTGCTTCAAAAATGCATGTATTGTGCTGAGAATGGTAAATATGTGAGGCTTTTTTAACAGCATGTACAAATGAAACATGGACTGTGTATTGAGCGACTAAAATGTATAAAGATGAACTTAACTCTAACTGGAAAAAAAATTATTTAAAACTATTTCTGTCAAAAAACAGACTAAAACAAAACTATGATATGCACACAAAGCTGCAATGTGGAAAATAACTTGGAAATAAAAAGAAATTTTCAAAGATTCATACCTTCCTGCAGCCAACGCTGGGAAAGCTCTGCTCCGGTGGCAACATCATTATTGAACAGACCTCAGGAGAAGACTGACATGTTTTTTAATGGAATCAAAGATACGGAATACTCAACAGAAAGATCTGGAAAACATATTTCAGTAGCAATACTACTGGCGTATTGCTTACAGTGCAAAGCAATTATATATATATTTTTTATGACCATTTCACATGTAACTGCATGTTCACTGGATGTCTGGCTTTCAAAAATATTTGACTTGTGTAATATTGTCTTATGGAGCCTTTAGATCTCTGGTCTCTTATCGCTTCAGCTTTTAATAGATTTAATGGAAGGTTGGTCAGCAACTAAGCCCCAATATATTTCATATGTAGATTGGAAGCACAAATGAAAATGCTATTGTGCATCTCCTCTCAGTACAATGAAATTTAGAGGTTTTTTTTTTGTGTTTTTGTTTTTTGCCATTTACATATTTCTAAAAACTTGGTATAGTTAATATAAGGCTTCAGATTTCAGAGCAGGGCAAAATCTAAAGATCAAAAAAGGCAGAAACAGTTTTAAGTTCTATTTTCATCTTAATTCAAATCAGCACATCTTGTATTGAACTAATAAGTTGTTTAGCATCAAACAATCAATACCTTTAACCGTTCATTATAAACCGATGATTTACTTTAGAACAGTAATTTAATTAACTTAATTTAATATCTCAACATTTAAAAAACTCAACTGCAGCCAATACCGTTCAGAAATGAATGGAGCAATAACAGATGTTATCCAGATGAATCTTTATCATCCATGTTATAAATTTACAACTCAGGAAGAATAAAAGTGCTTCAGCAGAAACAAACTTGAGTTTGGTCAAGAAGACTTCCAACTAAAATATTTCTTTTTCCCACAATTTAACAGTTGAAATGATGAAGGCACACTATCTTAGAAAGTGTAAACAAAGATTTGGCATTACAATTTCTTTCACTCCTTCACCAACTTTATCCCCTAATAGTTTTTTTTTAATCTTTTGAACCTTCAAACAATAAGAGATTAAAATGTTTAAATCTAACACTGTAACTAAAATGATTTACTAGATTTTGTTTCAGTCAATACTGATCTTCTAAAGAACCATAAAGTGCATCTCAAGATGACCGAGACATAAAAAAAAAAAAAAAAAAACAGCACACTAAATGGATGCGCTTTAGATAACGCCAGCTGGGAAATGATCAATAGTTAGTAAATCAAACACTTTGCTCCCAAATTAGAACAACCATGGGGACTAAAAGTAAAAAAAAAAAAAAAATGTAAAACTATAACTTTTATAAGATTTCAAACAAACTTTTAAAAAAAATCAGTGAGAGCTCTCAGAAAAGTAAGTATTTCAAGGCACATTTCAGTTCTTATGGCACCTTCACTTACTTTTAAAATATTATTAATTAGCAGTTATTTAGTTTTAAACCTCATTAGATGAGCAAGATTTAACTAGAAAAAGTTGGAGCGTCAAAAACACAGCAGTAAAACATTGGATAAAATATTTAAATAAAAAGACTTAGAGTAATTTATGGTCCAAAAGAGAAGAAAGAAAACAAGAAAAGCAACAAAATTGTTGCCACAATAACAGTAGTGATAACCATGAAATCAATTTGTTTAGTTACAGCAAAATTAGGTCAAGTTTGGAGCGTGGCTTGCAGGGTGATAACTAACTGTGGAAGAAGCCTCCATAACTGCAGACTCCTGCATACATTTGAAAACAGCTATAATCAGACAGATTGGGAAAAAAATTTATACTAGGAAAGTTATTCTGCTGCTTTCAGGCAAATCTGGTGTAATGCCTCACTGTTCCTAATTTAGTGTAATCCACAGAGAGGATAGTGATCCACTCTGAACTAACCATGTTTTTAAAATTAAAGTAAATATGAATGTGTTGCCTATTGCTTGTTCTATGGCGTCCAAATGAGGGCCCCACAGCCACCTTGTCCCACTCCCTCTATTCAATCAGTCCGTCTTCCTGTGGTTGTTGTTCAAGACGTAGTGACCGTTCTGCATGTGGCCATTCTTTGGCTTCTTTTTTTGCCCCCTGTCTTCGTCATCTGACTCCGTCTCCTCTTTATCGCTCCTCTCGTCCTCTACGATGTCCTGCCACAGACAAAAAAGCAGAAGAAACTTGTATTTTGGTTGGCTGAGGGGACTTCGATAAGCTGCTTCATGAAGAGTCTTCAAAACTCCCGAACTTTTCAAGAGATTTTCAAGCCATAGCATCGGACTTCGATGATTTATCGGGATTTTATGAAAGCCAAACACAAAGTGACCCCTATAAGTGGAAGGAATGTATTTCGCATTCATCCCCACTGATTTGATGCTCTGTCAATCTCCCTTTTCACTGCAGTTGGAGCTGCAACTCTAACTTTGCGCATCCACAGACTGCTGGAAGCTTAGCAGACCATTAGAAACCCCCAAATTTTACCTATTTTAGCTCCATCCATTTTCCCTATTAACCATGACAAGACTTCCTGTCTCTGCAGTAGAAAATCTCCCAAAAGCATGATGCTGCCACCACCATGTTTCATCAAGGTGTTTAGTGTTTTTAAAATTTTAGCCATAATTGTTCACGTTTGCTTTTAGCCTGCAAACAGGTTCTAACTACCATCCACCCCTTAGCAGATCTTCATACCTGAATCATTTATCTCTGAAAACAGAGATAAATGGTCCCCCCCCCCTCATTTGAAGCTTTAGAAGTCTTTTTCAAGATTTTTTTAGTTGAATTTTCCCAACAGTATGACCATAAATGAACTAATACTGTGGTTTTAGAACTTTTTTTTACTCTTGCCTTGCTTGGATGAAGGATTGAAAAAACTAGGATGGACTGGATTTTATCTGAGGGCTTTAGAGGGAATTGTGTTACATTTCCAGCTTTTTATTTGTGAAAAAATATGTTCATAACCCCAAATCCCTTTTTATTCCATGTTATTTTTATCTATCATTTTGGTCTTTTGCAGGAAATAAATCCAAATAAAGCACATTTCTAATACTGTAGCATGACATGACAGAATTGGAAAAGCCTAGTTATCAGTGGTTCAGCCTTTTCCCATACTTTGAGAGAAACAACTTTTTTTCCCTTACATTTCCTGGTAGGAATTTGACGACCATGCGTAGGATGAGTCCAGTCCAGAAGATGTGCAATATCAACAGCACCACCAGCAGTCCGTTGAAGAAGTAGAAGCCAAAGAAGGTGGAGTAGAGGGTCAGCGGGTACACGCATGTCGCATGTATGATCCTGGCCAGAGGACAAAGGGAGAACAAAGGGTCCACTCAGAGTCGGCATCAGTTATCCTCTAAAGCCCATTGAGAGGAGCCAGGAGTTTAAACAAAGGATTGGTTGTTTGAAGAGGAAAATCAGGAAAGAGTTGAGCAAATCTCTTCCCCTCAGAAAAAAAAAGGATTGTTGCATATTTTAGGCAGACATTGCAGCCTTTTTTTTTTTACAGAATGATGAATGTAAAAACACTCAGTACAACAATAATAATAATTTTAAAAATAATATCTCAATGATTTGCTCCTGTCTGCCTGTCTCTTTTGAACAGCTGCTATTATGACAGAGACAGAATTAGAACCCAGGAATGAGAAAACCTGCACATGTTTTTTTCTGGAGGCTGGATGTTTACGACAGATTACATAGAAGGGGCATCACCACTCAGGCTGGAACAGTAAATCAAACAATAAAATTAATGACACCCTAAACCATTAATCTACTCAATATTTAGAAGATTCCTGACAGCAGCTAACATGTCTTTAAAAATGAGTACTCCGAGTACTAATTTTTCTTTTTTTTTTTTTACATTTTAATCAGCATTTAGCACAAGTCCAGATTTACAGATAAAATTAATCTGCTAGAAATATGCGTAGCTAAAAAATTAAAACAAAACAAACAAAAAAAAAACTCTGTAAAACTTTTAAAGATGTTTAGTTCCTGGTTCGTCATGTCTATCAGCTTCAGTTTATTATTATCTTGTTATATAACTTGGATTTATTTTAGTGCTGGAGCAAAAAAAAAACAAAAAAAAAACAACAACAATAAAATAACCCTGGGATAAACGGGCAACTTCTTAATAGAGGAAAAATCATTTAAAGGTAACAAATATCGACTTAAGTTTCTAAAAATCCAATATGGCAAAAAAACAAAACAATAAAAAACACAAAGATAAGGTTCCCATAAATAAAACAAAAATAAAACAAAACAATAATCTCCTTAATGAATTATTTTTCTGAGAGTGATGCATCATGGTACAAGACATTATTCTGTTTTACCAGAAAGGGAAGATGATGAGTCGGGTGATGATGAAAACTATAGCAAACACGGTGAAGATGAAGTTGCAGGTTTTCTTCCAGCCTGCATAGTTAAACATTTTGGCCGACTAGGAAAAAAGCAGAAGAAAGAAGACATCAATGTAATAGCTAATTATTTCTACCTCTAGAGGGCAGACAAACTCTGACACACACCTGGGCTCCTCAAGTTAACCATTAGGTTATATTAATATATAAAATATCAGAAATAAGGAGAGGGAGCTCCAACAATTTACAGTGCTTCCTGACTTTAAAATAAAGAAAAAGATTGTTCTATTGCTGTAATGCTGCTAAGTTATCTTACAGTAGAAGATGCATAAAAACAAGAATGTGGTATAAATTTAAAAGGATTATTATTACAGTTAAATGGCCCTCCTTAAATTAGATAATTTGCATGGTTTTGTTACAGCCATGGATTGCTCCTTCTGTTGGCTGCATTGGATACATAGATTAATAAAGCTTTTGCAAAACTGCTGCACTGGTTTCCAAACAGATACCTGTTACTTTATTTACAAATAAAGGACAAATTTATTTCCTCTCAGAACATATAACAAGATATAACTTTTGTGTTCATGGCTTTCAGTTTAATCCCAATTTAAATGAAATGGAATTAAATGTGGTTTATAGAACACAGATGAGACCAAGATGGAAGTTTTGTTCTGGGTCAACTCTCAGTCAGTCGGGTGGATTAAATGATGTGATGTGTGATGCTATATATATATAGAGAGAGAGAGAGAGAAAGAGAGAGAGAGTGTTTTTTTGCAGCACACATGTCATACCTCCATGAGATAGTCCGAGGCGTCGTGCACCAACATGATCAAAGTCCCAGCTCGGATGTAGTTGACCAGCCAGGAGAAGCTGATGAGGAGGATGGTCGCTACATGGTGAACTATTTGTTCTTTGAAATCCTTGACAGGAAGAGTTGGATGATGTTAAAATCCCAAACAACCCCCAGTCTGGTCACTTATTGATCAGGCTGTCAACATCGCTCACTAAAACTGTTCTAGGTCCTGTTTTTACTAATGATTTACTCTGCACAAAGTGCACAAAGCAGAGCCCACACCTAGAAAATGATGCCTTATTTTAAAAAATCATGCTAAGACAGAGGATTTCACTGGGAATGAATACACAAATCCTCAAACTTAAGTAGGATTTCAACACGTTGGGAGTCCTGCTAAACCTTACCCTACTTTCTGCTAAACCATGTGCTGGTTTATTAGATTTATCACTTCCACTGTTTTGAGGTTTGGAGCTTTACCATTAAACCTCCTTCACATATTAACCCAACATGAAACTCATGAGGAGAGCTGGAGGTCTGGTTTATATTGAGTTCAAAAAGCTGACAGCTTCAGAACATGTCAGGACTTAAAGTGGAAATCAACACCCAAATCTCAAAATGCTGCCCCAACAAAAAAGATCATTTTCCAGGCACTTAGTAAATGATCTCTTTAGAAGGAGGGGTTTTAAGGGGAGTTCATAACACAAAACTATTTAGAAACAATGAAACTTTACTTACCTTTCGTTTGACATCTGATGCTACGCTGAAAATCAGCGACAAATAGAAGCCCAGTTCAATCATGTAGTACCAGTACTGGGAAGTCAAGAGTGGCTGGAAGGAAATAAAGAAGAAAAAGGGGATATTATCCATTGTTCAGTAAATCAGAGAAAAGAATACCAAACTACTGGATAAAAATAAGATTTCATATATTCTCATTAGGAATGAATTATTACCATTTTAGGGAAGTTTTCCCACACCAATTTAACATCATGGAACCATGGTTTCTAAGAGGAGGGAGACAGAAAAGAGGCCAGCTGAGAATAAATGCATTTGAACAAAAAGGAGCTCATGAATACAAAATCTACTGATTTTACCCTTCTTTAAAAAGGGAAGGATGTTCAAGCAACACATTTAAACTGCTGAGATAATTTTTCCAGTTTAAATCATTTAAGATCCACTATGCTTGTGTTTAACAGGGTATATAAAGGAATGATTAACTCTAATTTAATGATTTTTAATGCTCTTTTAATGCTCTTAGAAATAATGTTTATGCCATCAACAAATACCCATGACTCTCATATATACACGGCAAATTCCTTCATCTTTTCCGCCGGCAGGCTGCAATTCCTCAATTTCCAGCCACTTTTGTTGAAATTAGCATTTTCCCCATTCTCTAGCCTTTTCTCTGCAGCGAGCTTCTTTTCCGAACATACGGCTTTACGATCTTACGAGCTTTTTTTTTCTAAATTAAGCCTTTTAAATGCCAAAATCATCACATTTAATGAATTTTAATGCCTAATCAGGCCTTAATTTCAAAAATAATTATTTAATGACTTTTAATGATTTAGGGGGCAGAGTTGCATTGCTGTATGCTTCATATAGGCAGAGAAAACTGGTAATATCTGGACCTTTCGCTGACATCCCAGTGAAAAAAAATTAGAAAAGGCTTTATTCCCAAGCAGTTTTTATAGAAAAGATAAAACCGTTCCAAACTAAAGACAGAGTAAGACAAGAAATATTAAATAAAAAAAAAATAAGTTCACAGATAGACACTAGGTGGTGCTAATGCACCTGCCCTTTATCCCTCCGGACAAAAAAGTGCTCTCCTGCTCCACATGTAGCTCCGCCTCCATAGAGCCTTGCCCTGGTGAAGGGCCAGCTAACCGTCCAGATAACTAAGCATGCGTATTTACTTTCTTTAGCAACCGGTTAGTTCACAGCATTACGTCTTTAATGACCTCTACCAGGCACCATAGAAATGTTTTAAAATGAAACTCTGATTAAATTTGAAAAAAAGTTAACTTAAAGCATCTCATAGATTATTGGTTTATGGTAATAGGACTCTCTGACGACATCTATTTGACTGATGATCTGTCAGTGGAATGACAGTTATTAACCTTAACATAAGGTTATTACATATTTTGCACTTGAAATAAGATAATAGATTTGTTTTTGTTTTTTTCTAAATGTAAATCCTAGTTTATCTGCAGATTGTCATTTATATCCAATAAACTTAAAGATATTCAGGAATCCTGGGCTTTATATTAATGGATCTGAAATTGTTATCTATTTAAGTGAGACCCATGTGGCATTGCTACCTATGGACTCTGGAAGATCATTAAAACGTCAGCATCAGGCGTTGTTTGGCTTTTGGCTGCTCCATGGGACGAATAAAGTGTGATTTTTCCAACCTGAACACCTGCCCCCAAAAATGTCTGTGCATGACACTGCTACAACTTCTTAAAAGCATAGTGTACCTTGTGCAGAAAACAAAGTCAAGTCTAGTCTGATATTATGACAGAGAATTCGAAAGAAGTTCCATTTATCATTTAGTGCTATTTATTTATACCCATTCAGTCAGTGAAAAAAAAACACAAAACCCTTTACAAAGCAGTTCCATTTCTTGCGTTTTTAATTATCTGAAAGTCTAGGCTATTTATGACATGCTCCCCTTTTAATATACGTTTTCTCATTTCATTTCACTACCTTTTTTTAAAAATCACTAAAACATTCATAACTCTAAGGTTGAAATCATTTTTCAGTTCAGCTGCATAACAAGATAACTTTGTTCTCTCTTTATCAAAATCTCTGTGGGTGAACTACTTACATCAATAAGGACACCCAGGCCAGCAAAAAAAGCAAGGAGGTAAAATGTAAACCTCCAACTGTAAGAAAAGACACAATTATCTCACAACGTAGAAAAAACCATGCTACTAACCCTCACAGAACAAAAAAAAAAACATTAAAGGGCATATATAATCAGTGTTCAAACCAGGGTCAAAATTAGACTTAGACTTGGACAAACTTTATTGTCGATGCATACAGCTTTTAAACAGTGAATGAGCAGCTTACAGCAGTGAAATGAACATTAGCATTTACAGTGCAGCAGTAAGCACAATGTAAACAGTGTAGGAGAAAAGGAGAACCAGTTTAAGGACATGGTGCAAAAGGCATTGATGTGGAAGGTTCAGAGCAGTGCAAAATAAATAAATATGCTGCAAAATGCAGTAGAAGAGTTCTACTTTTAGAAGCTGTAGTTTAGCTGTCCTCAAATGGGTGCCAAGGATCAATAAATGACCAGATCTGTGATCAAAGGACCCAATAAGATTTTAGTTTTCCTCCTTAAATCGACTACATAAAAATGTAGCAAATAAATTCTGTAATGAGCAATCAGAGTGGATAAAGTAAGCCTTCCCTTTAACAGCTGATTTGGTGTTTTATGCTCGGCAGATGTCTCTTTTTTCCTTTTTTCTGCAACAGCTTTTGCGAAATGTTCTCTCTCTTTCAGTGGGTGGGGTCCGATATAAAAGTGGAGCCTCTCCTGATGAAATGATCATGTGTGCTGTGTAAAACCAGTGAACGTGGTGCAATTAAAACTTTAATGTGCGGCCTAGAACGTCTTAAACCAGAGCTTTACAAGAACGGCCTTCATAAATCACTGTTATTGTTTTACCGAGGCAGCAATTGGAGGGAGTTTAGAGCTGCACGGTTCTGTGGTCTATGAGAACAGACTTCCTCATCATGTGTTGCTTCAGGATTTGCCTGCTGTTATGTTGTCAGGCTTTCAAGAAATCTTTCGTTTGAACACATTGTGGCCTCCAGGAAAATCATCTCTGAACTGAAACTATGTGGTTCGTGAGAAACAAAAGGAAATGTGGGATCAATGAAAGAAATGAACGGATTAAGATGTAAAACTACCTTGCTTCCTGAAACTTTTTGAGCTTGCTGGGTCGATCTTGATTTCTCCGTCGCCTGAACCACCTCTGGACCTGTCGCACTGAACAACCTGTCTGTTTACTTAAAATCTCTATTGAGCTCTAGGAGGAAGTGAAACAGAAGGGCAAAAAATAAATCCATGGCTGCAACACGAAGAAAATAATTGACAGAGGGCCGAATGCTGTAGGCCAAACATGTAGATGGGTGGATGGATCGATGGATTCAATTAAAAAACAAAGCATTTCAAACATATGAATAAAATTAAAGGTGCAATGACATGTTTTAAACATGCATGAAGTGTCAGCGTTTGCATTGGGAGTACCTGTGTGGGATGCCTTGATATGCTGCAGAAATGAGACTCCAAGATGGGATTTGGAGAAGCACAGACGCGATGGTTGTCTCTCACCCCCAGCAGAGATGCTAAAGGAAGCGCTATACTCCTAAAAAGCAGAGGGGGTACACCTGGTGGTTCATGTCTCATTAAATTGTCCAGAGAAACCAAAAAAAATAAAACCTGGAGATGCATACTATAGAGGAAGATGACTCACCTCTCAAATATCTGCCTTATGACGACGAAGCACAGAGCGACAGGAAGTACCGCCCAAAGGTCCTGAGTTTTAGGGAACACTTTGCCATCGTGATCCTTAAGGTCATCCCAGCCGTAACCTTCTGGGAACCAGATCCAGTCAGCCCATATAAGCTCACTTAACCGAGATAGCATCCTAAAGACAAAACAAAAAGAGACGTTGTTTGCAACTTGAGAAAAGAAAACCAAGATGTCAAAAATGGAACATTTGGTAGATTTGATTTCCCAACAGATAGGTTTACAGCTACAAACTCAAACATGAGAATAGGCTAAGATGGGAGACTAGGGGAACTGACAGCGCCTGCATAGGCTGGTTAACCTCAACCTGTTTGAGCTGAAAGGAAATAAAATAAGATGAATTTGTTTGATGACATAAGCAGAGTGACTCTACCAGGAATGGAGCTCCTGCACATGGAGGGTCTTAGATGGAGAGATTCCCCAACAAGTCAGCAACAAATTGAAGAAAAAAGTTTGATCATAAAAAAAAATAAGTGTCCCTCCACCCACATAAAAATTTGTTTTACCGTATTTCATGTGAAATGTGTCTAATTTTATGGATGACTGAAACTAGAGAAGGAAATTACACAACTGTTAGAGGATGTGGTTACAAGGAGTTGAGCAAAATACAAGAAAATTCTATGTTAATTCAACTTCTTAATTACAGTAATCTCTTAATTAGACAAAAGTTAAACCGAGACTGCTTCATTAAATGATTTCATGCAAACAGAATTTGAAATAATTGTAACCATAGGAAGAACTTTTTACCTTTTATA